GCCTGGTGCTGCAGATGGCCCACTGCCTCGGGGGTTGCTCCTGGGGAGAAGAGAAGAACTAAGGCTGAGGTGTGGACACGGGTACAGGAGGGGGTGTAGAGCCTATGCTAGCAGGACCCCACGCTGCTCTGCAGTTAGTTGCACCCCCCTTGCCTGGCCCTCACGGAGGGAGGAGGAAAAAGGGGATAAAGAAGCCAAGATGTGTCTCTAGAGGTTGGTGCTGGCAGGAGGAATTTACCGAGGTTTTTGGAAAGTGCCAAGTGTTATTAAATCCTGCCTCCCGCTCCCTTGGGCAGCTGTTTCCTATTTACTCTTTGCCCATCTCTGCTTTTCTCTCTGCAGGATCCACACAACATCTGTCGGGGATAGGGGGCCTGGGTCAGAGGGCCTAGCATGCATTTTCAGGTCCCAAGTCCCTGTTGGGGCCTGTATGGTCTCAACTGTCTATGCAGGGAATGGGCAGGGATAGAGAAGGTCTGGGCTTCCAGAATATTCATCTGTGCAGTGTACATTTTTGTTTAGGAACTGTAGGCTAAGGAGGGTGAGAGGCCCTAGAGGGAGAAATTTGTGTCTGGAATCCTCCACTTTGTTCTCCTCAATGGGGACCCACCTTTCAGGCATTGGCAGAGTGGCCTTGGGGTGGATTGCAATGCAGAGGGCTGGGAAGGCACACACTGTGCCTCAAACTTGTCACCTAGGCTTGCATGTATCTTGCTGTGTGCTGAGCCCCATGCTTTGGGCATGATGAGGGTCCAAGTAGGCGGCTAGGCGAGTTCCTGGTGGGTGGTGGGGGATGCACCCTGCCATCCTGTTCCCATCCGACAGGATTAGGGGGGCATCTTCTCAGTAATCAGGCAGTTGTTCATATTGCTACATTTCTTGATTTTTTTTCTAGGAAATTTACCAAGTTTGGACCCAGGGGTTTACATGTCCCACCCCCTAGCAAACGCTTTCACTATTCAAGCTCCAAATGGAAGTCACTGGGGCTATAATTACACCAGCATTAGCTCTGGAACACGCTGAGAGGAGGGGAACAGAGCACCTGGGGGGAACCTGGATGCAGCCACAGGCCTAAATTAGCTGTTGTGCTGCTTGCAGTTGTCAACCGCTCCTCCGCAGAGTCCCCCACTTGCCTCTCTCCCCCACCTCGGCCTCAGGCCACTCAGCCTTTGCTGCTGCCAGCCAGCAGGCACCTGACAGGTGCAGGGACCAGCCGGTCTGGGAGAACACCCCCACAGAGTCAGGACCCACACTAGCCTTTGTGCTGACAGGCATCCTTGGGTCCTTGCATGGCCAGGCAGAATGGTCTAATAGCAGCTCAGAGGATTGCTGCAGAGGCAAAGACTCCAGCATGACCGCGTCAGTTGCCTGACTGATCAGCATCTTGTCATCCCGTTGCTTGGTTTCCATTTCTAGGCATGATGATTTGCTTTCTGTTGCTCTCAGCCTTGCCCTCTTCTTGGGACCCCCCTTTTCTGTCTTCTTCATGTCTCCTGACTCACCTTGTTGCTTTTAGCAAAGAAATCACTATGTCTGTAACACTCCCCAACTCGGGGCAGGTCCTTTCCTCTCTGTACACTGACTTCTTCCAATGGAACTTGGTGTTAGCATAGGCACATAAAGGGTGCTCTTCCGTCTCCAGCTGTCTCAGTAAGGTGGCAACCTTAGTGGCTGGGGCAGTGCCTGGCAAATAGTACCTGGCACATAGTAGGCTCTCTCCTCTCTCTATAATTTTTTGTTTTGTGTGTGTGTGGTGTGCACATGTACATGCAGTTTTAAGTGTATGTGGAGGCCACAGGTCGACATGAGGACTCTTCCTCAATCGCTTCTCCAACTTACTTTTTTGCAACAGGGTCTCTTCCAGAACTTGGAGCTCACCAGTTGGCTAGGCTGCCTAGCCAGTGAGCTCCAGTCTCCTAGCTCCTTGCTTTCCGAGTGGGGGAGTTACAGATGATGCACTACTGGCCCGGCTTTATTTTTTTCTTCATCTGGATTCTGGGATTCTGAACTCAGAGCCTCATGTTTTCTGCCTTAACCCCCCGCCAAAAACCAACAAACAAGCAACAAACCGAAAAAACTATTTTTCTTTTATTCTCTGCCTCCCTCTTTCCCTTTTTTCTTCCTTCCCTCTCTCTCTCCCTTTCCTCCCTTCTTTCCTTCTTCTTAATTTGTTTTGCGACAGGTCTTGCTCTGTAGCTCATGCTGGCCTGGAACTCATGGAAGTCTTCCTGTCTTAGCCTTCTGAGTGCTGGGACTACAGATGGGAGCCATCATCCCCAGCTCCAATTCCCTTTCTTAAAAGATTCAATGTTTTTGGAACAGCTTCATGTTCAGAGCATAATTGAGGGAAGGCATGAGATCCTATTTGCTCCCCGTTCCCCCTGCCTCATCACTATCAATACCTGGTTCCGGAGTGGTACGTTTGCAACAGCTGACAATTCTACCATGATGTACTCTTACTACCCAGAGCATATAGCTGACATCAGGATCTACTGTGCTGTGTATAGCATGGGCTTGGACACATGCATGGCACGTGTTCACCATTGCAGTAGTATCATTTAGAATAATATCACTGCCCTGAAAATACTCCATGTTCTACCTGTTCATCCCTCCCTCCCCTAAGACCTGATAGCTACTGATCTTTTTACAGTCTCTGTTGTTTTCCTTCTTCCAAAATGTCAGCTGTACTTGGCATCTTATGTCCTGCTTATTTCATGTGGGTTCCTCCACATCTTTTCATGGTGTGATAACTCCTTTCTTTCATCATTGAATAATATCCTGTTGTCTGTATCCCTCCTGCCTTCATTTTGCCACAGAGAGAGGGAACTTTCCTTTCCCAATGTTACAAGACCGCTGTTGACTAAGCAAGGTGTTACAGTGAATGGTTCGCTATGGATCTTTCTCTGGCTTTTTCTTCTGAGCCCTTCTGGCCTGGGACCCACATTAATACTTGAATAATGTGATCTTGTCTTGGTTACTGTTGCCTGCTTTGTGTCAATTTCACTTCCTTCATAATATTAGCAACTTTTGTGCATTTATCTTAAACCAACATTGTTCTTGTTAACGTTTATTCTTTCAGTCATGAAATACTGAGTGTCCATGTACCAAACTCTTGATACTCTGAACACAGCCATTAGCATGGTCTCTGTTTTATTTTGAAACAAGAAATGGCTAATTAACTATGTACAGTACAGAGGCTGGTAAGGAGTGCTGTGGGAAAAGCAGACCAGAGTTCAGGGCAATGGAGTATTGAGGATGTTGCATGCTTGATGGTCAGGAAGGACTCACAAGACCTGAACCAACTAAGGACTATTGCTCTATGATCATGCAGGGAAGAAGAGAGCTTTGTAGACCAGGGGCACCCTGAGGTACATAGGCCCTCAGGTCAGGACACCATTGGCCTGTTCCAGGAAAATCAAAGTGGCCAGTATTGGAGCAGAGTGACCAAAACGAAGGGGAAGAGCAAGGTCAGATAGAGCAGTGCTGGTTAAAAGAAATATAATGCACCACGGACGTGGAATTGTAAATGTTTCAGTAGCCACATTTAAAAGGTAAAAAGAAGTGGGTGAAATTAATTTTGATGTTACATTTGACACCATATATCCAAAATATCCCTCCACCATGCAATCAAAGCAAATAAATTACGAGTGAAATACATCATTTTTCTTGATAAGCTTTGAGAATCGGAGGCATATTTTAAAATCTTGTGTACATATTTGAAATGTGATAGCTGCATTTCAAGTTCAGTGGCTAAGTAGCTCTATACTGAACAGTGCAAATACAGAGACTCGTAGGTCATGTTAAGGCCTCTGAGTGAAGCCAGCGGATATACCTGTATCCTGGAGTGACACTTTTGTGCCTTATGTTTTTGAAGTTCACTCTAGTTCTGTGTTAAGAGAAGGTTATTATGAGGTGCTTTGAGAGCAGGGCAACTGAGCACAGTGATGATAGCTTGGAGGAAGGTAATAGCTGTGTGGGTGAGTAATCCTGGAGTGACACTTTTGTGCCTTATGTTTTTGAAGTTCACTCTAGTTCTATGTTAAGAGAAGGTTATTATGAGGTGCTTTGAGAGCAGGGCAACTGGGCACAGTGATGATAGCTTGGAGGAAGGTAATAGCTGTGTGGGTGAGTAGTGGTGCATTCTGGGTATGTTTTGAAGTTAGACTCCCAGGCTTTGCTCATGTGGTGTATGAATGAGAGAGGAGTCAAGGATAGGGTAGGGCTTCTAGTCTGGGCAGTAGCTCTTTCGAGCAGGATGAGTGTGATTGGCAATTGAAGGGGAGAATGACCACTGGGGTGGGGTCTGGGTTTGACACAAGAGTATTAGGTTTTCAGATAGTGTTGTTGAGGAGAGTTGAACAGGTGAGTCTGGGGTTTGGGAGAGAGGTTTGGTCTGGGGAGATAGATGCTGACTGATGGTGTTTAAGGGCATGAGATAAAATGAGGGAGCAGGTACCTAGAAGAAGACTGGTTCCTGGTGGTCATAAGAGTGGGGGTGAGGAAGGTGACTGTGCTGTTGCTTGCACTCTGGTTGGCAAAGACTCAATGATGAATGTTGTCCACTTTCAATGCCAGTGGTACCACTTCCCTGAAATCCTGCTCAAGTGTGTTGCTAGAGGACGGGTGTTGGGGTTCCTACTGATGTGACTTTAAGCCAGTCACATTATCTCCTGCCCTTGCAAACAGGACCGTGTATACCCACTTCCATGATTTTGAGGCTGGGAGTGAGTTTGTGATAAGACTTTGGATTGAGAGGCGCTATCTCAATTACTCTCTGAACTTGCAGTGTACCCTGTTCCTGGCACTGCCCCATGTACTTTAGGGACCTCCATATTAACACCTTTAATGCTTTAGAGCCCTAGGTTTCTGGAAGTGATCTCTTCCACAGATGAGGAAACAGGCAAAGGGTAGGCATGTGGAAGCATACCGATGTTGAGTGGCCATGTATGTCTCCCTATGCCTGTGTGGACCTTTGACCTGTGTTCTCCTTTCTCCTCCAGGGACAGGGGTAGATCCGGTGGCCAGTGCCAAGAGCAATCACTGCCTGGATGCCGCCAAGGCTTGCAACCTGAATGACAACTGCAAGAAGCTTCGCTCCTCCTACATCTCTATCTGCAACCGGGAGATTTCACCCACTGAACGCTGCAACCGCCGCAAGTGCCACAAGGCCCTGCGCCAGTTCTTCGACCGCGTGCCCAGCGAGTTCACCTACCGAATGCTCTTCTGCTCCTGCCAGGACCAGGCTTGTGCTGAGCGCCGCAGGCAAACCATCCTGCCCAGCTGCTCCTACGAGGACAAGGAGAAACCCAACTGCCTGGACCTGCGTAGCCTGTGCCGGACTGACCACCTCTGCCGGTAAGAGCTGCCGATGCTGTCTGGGGCTACTCGTGTGGTGGGCTGGTGTTTTCTCTTCTCTTTGTGTCCCAGGGTCACTTGGATTATGACAATGGCCCATCAGAAGGTGTTGAGAAAGTTAAAACCGACTTGGTCATGGGTAAAATCAGTTGTCACCCATTCCTTTCATTCATTCATTCATTCATTCATTCATTCATTCATTATGGATTTATCATTTGTCTACACTGTGTGCGTCTTCATGCTAAGTACCCAAGGAAAGCCAAAGTGCACTACCCAAGGAGCTTATAAATCATGGGTTTTTAACATCTCGGAAGAAGGAGTAACTTTCAGAGATTTTTGTTCCACTTTGAAAGGTAGCCGCACCTGCTTCCCAGCAGAAGAATATGTTCTTGTGATCCAAGAGCCAGCTTACTGCAGACCGTGAGAGCTGGACCAAGCTAGTGTTGGCTGAAGAACAGGTTCTGGAGTCTGTCAATTCTGGGATCTAATTCTGACCTCACCACTTACTTAACTGTGACTTTGAGGCAGTTTTTAATCTTTCGCGAGTCTCCATCCCTTCACCTGTGAAAGAGGAATAAAATACATCACAGGGTTATTGTGAGTGTAATTATATGTGTCTAAAGCTTAGCACAGAGGCTGGCATATAGTAAATATTTAGTAAGTATAATCTAATTATTAGGAACTGGGTTCTTTTGTTACAGTGAGTTGAAATTTGCCTTTTTATAATTCTCATGCTTTTCCTGTTTGTTAAGTATTTTATTGTATTCTGTTTTGTGCAGCCAAGGCCTGGCCATCCGGAGAACACTCTGCTCTCCATGGAGCACATAGTCTGGCAGGGAGAGACATGATCTCAATTTAGTGGGGGAACACATCTGGGGCTCCCAGAGAAGGGAGTACAAGGAGGGTCACCTGCCTCAGCCTGGGGATCCTAAGGAGGGTCTTGGAGTTGATGAATCCTTGAGAAATGAGGAGAAAGGAGTGAATTGGCTGGGAGAGGCTAGAGGGAGAGCGTGGGCTTATGGGAAACTTCAGAGTATGGGTGATAGGAGGCTGCTGGAGAACGAAGGATTATAATAGCTTAGGTGTTTATGGATTGTCTACTGTGTTCTGGACACTGTTCTAAAGGCTTCATGCTCATTAACCCTGCAAACGGCTCTGAGCTCAGCACTATTATCATCTTTGTCAGATGAGGAAACAGACTGAGAAAATCACTTGCCTGAGGTCATATAGCACACACATTTTATAGTTCGGATTTGTGGGATATTGCTTTTTTCCAGTATACTTGTCAATGTCTACAACCTGAATGACATCAAGCATTCCACCCTGGAGTAAGGTAGTGCTGTGGGGATGGAGGACAGTGGATTGTTTCAGTGAGGATGGTAAGTTGACTTGGCAGGACTGGAAGTCCCCTGGAGGCTAGAACTCCACTCCTCTTTCTACATGTGGATTTTGACAACCAGGAACACTTTACAAATACTACTTAGCTGAATGAATGGATGGCAATTGCGTGTTTCGTAGTGAAGTAACTATGGGGCAGTGGAACCATTCAGTGGCAGCAATGTTAGATATGTGGTGTTTGGGGTGCTTGAGTGACCGTTGTTCCAGTGGTAGCATCTGGGTATTTAGACTGGTGATTCTGGAGCTCAGTAATGAAGGTAGAGAGAAGGGATGGGGTTAGGTGTTTTGGGGACACTTGATGGTGATTAAAACCTAGTCATGTCATGGGGAGGGTTGATTGAACCCACTAGGGAGTTTGGGTTGGAGGTGCTGGTTTGGGGTATCCTAGTGGTCAGGTGGTAAGTGGAGCCACTGGAATGGGCAGCAAGGCTGACTGTACAGGAGACACCAATGGATCATAAAGAGGGGTGAGGAATGTAGAAAAGGAGGTCGGGAGGCCAGGGAGGTTGGAAGACAGTCAGGAGGGCGCGACTGGGGCTTCCAGAAAGAGAAAGCTGCCAAGCCAAGGTGCCCTACATTGTGTGTGTGTGTGTGTGTGTGTGTGTGTGTGTGTGTTGAAAGCCAACTGCTGTGACCCAGGCCTGGTGTGTGTGTGTGTGTGTGTGTGTTGGAGGGGGGGATAGAAGAAGAGTCAGGATTCAAATTTTTTTTTTTAGAAGACAGCAGGGCTGAGGCCAGAAGCCTCTGAGTAACGTGTGTGATAGAAGATGGCTTTTTTTTTTTTTTTTAACTTCAGAGTGCTGAGCATCTGAGTACCTGGAATGGGAGTCCTATTTTGTTTGGTTTGGAAAACAAACTCTCCTAGTGTTCAGAGAAGCATGGAGCTAGCCTCAGGGCTAAGGGAAAGCCTTGTGAGCATGGAGCTAGCCTCAGGGCTAAGGGAAAGCCTTGTGAAGAAATGGACATTTTTGCCTCTGCTTCCTTAAAAAATTCACTTTAGATACAAACAGGTGAAGAAATTTGAAACAGACCTATGCCTATCACAATAGAGTATTGGCAGTAGCAACTGGGAGTTCTAGAAAGCAGCATAGAGAAGCCTTGACTATGTAGTCTGGTGGAGTTCTAAACATCATCCCTGGGCTTCCTGGTAGCTGGGATTAAGGAGAAGCTGGAGAAACCACAAATTCCCAAAGCACCATAGAAAGGAGCAAGCTAATTCTTACATGGAGACACCATCTTCTGTGCAGAAATGCTAGGCTGTTTGCCAGATCCCTGGAATGACAGAACAATGAATAAAAGCTGGTACAGAATGGCATGAGTTCAAACTCAGGACCCCATGCCTATGGCTGGGCTAGGTACATTCAAAACGTCATCAGGCTGCAGGGTACCTATGCAGGTGTTCGTGATCAGGCTACTCAGATATCTGAACTAGGAGTTCAGGACCTAGCCCCTGATTGTCGATTTTGAGCAAAGATGATTCATGGAACTCATGGCTCCTGTGGCCAAAGTTAATGTGTAAGTTGGGAGATTTTGGAGCAGAGTATTTTGGTGACTTGATCTATCTATTTAAGGAAACAAGTTTTTATTTGCTTATTTTCCTGGAGATGAGGCAGCCAGGACCAGGAGAATTGTGTGGTAAACAGCACATTGTGGAAAGAGAACAGATGTTTAAATACCATTAGGCATTGTGAGGGTCCAGATGGAGGAATCTGAGGAGAGAAGGGCTGATAGTACACAGCGGGACTGACCAAGCAAATGATCCCCTTGCATTGGGTTATGGACTTCAAGAACTGCAATCCTGGGGTCCACAGACAACATCACATCTAGATGACTGAATCGAGAACATGGCTCAGTTTGGCAGGCTTATGGTAGGAAGTTCATGCCAGGATGTGGCTAGGTGTACTCCTTTCTTCAATCAGGACATCTCTGCCCAGCTGCTCTCCTAACCCCCACACCCTCCTGTATGCAGATATAGTATGTGGTTCCAAAGGAGGGAAGTCAGGGATAAGGGCAGAGACTACATCTAGGATGAGTCTGGTAGGGCCTGTGGGGATTTTGCAGCACGGCCAAGTGCCCTGCAGAGGACTTGGCCTTCAACTCAGAGCTGAAGCTTGAGGTGGGCTGGGAGACATGTGTGAGGGAGAAGCAGAGACTGAGATGCAGAGGTGACAGGCAGGTGGTAGATGGAGTAGGTGGCTGTGGTACTCCAACTTGGAGATCTGCACGTGGTCTGAAAGCTCTGAGTGGGACATTATTCCTCCCTGGGACCTTGTTTTCTTCTCTGATCAAGTGAAGATGCTTATCCATGGCATCTCTGGGGGACCCTTTGGGGTGGCTCAGGTCTGTGGCTAGAGTCTTTCAAGGTGGGTTTCCAGGCTCGTGTGCCAGCCTCTTAGGGTTCTGTTTCTGGGAACATGAACTCTTTGCATGAGAGAAAATGACCAGAGCCTCATCATGAGATTGTGGAAAGGGTGGTTTGGAAGGGGTCTTCTTAGTTTCTGCCCAGGAGTGGGTCTGGAAGGAGAGAGGTGTTATATTCTCTTTAGTCCTGCAGGCCTGACCTCTGACCCATGTCTCACTCTGCCCAGCTGACCCCAGTGGCCCTGTGGATTTCATTCTCAACACTAGGAGGTTAAAGGTGGCTTGAAAGGACAAGTGGGGAGCAGGAATTTGGACTTGACTCTGCAGTGTCCCTATAAAGAAGTTCTGTGCTTTCCCTTCCTTGGGCTTGGCCTTTGCCAGGTTTCTGTTCTCTAATATGGGTACACAGGTAGAGATCTTATGAAAATGGGGGTGCCCAATGTCATGGGGGTTTGGAACAGGAACTGAAGATCCTCCCTTTCTTGGCTATGTTAATGAATGAAGCTGGTTTGATGGAGGAGGGGATCATAGAACACTTCTCTGGGGGCTGATTCTTTGGAAATAGGTCCCTCATCCTTGGACATCTGGAGCCTCCCCCATTCTCCATTACTATAGTGTCCAGTCTTGACTTCACCAGCTGGTCTTCCTTCTGCCCTAGAAGGGGATCCAGGTACGCCTAGGCTTTTTGCTGAGTCAATCTTGGCTAGGAGTCTTGGCGGTGGGGAGGAGGGGAGGCTCACAGCTTTGCCAAAGCCCAGCTGGTGCAACATGGAAGGAAGCTAGTCCACTGATTCCCTGGGAGGCCTGCCTAGTGGCAGCCTTACACTTCACCTTGTAGATTATGCTGCACTGTCTTGTAAAATGCCAATAAGGCTTTGGAGGCTTCTTTTGATCTAGGGTTTGAAGAAGCATTGGTTAAATAAGGATATCTGCTTGCTAGGCCTTGGGGTTACTGGAAATGCTTTTGAATCCTTCCACTGCCCTTTGGACCAGGGTCAGATGGAGCTTCTGAGAAAGGAAGCCTGTTGTACCCACAGTATATTTGGTTGGAAAATGGCATCCTAGGAACCTAAGATCAGTCCTTTGCTTTTGTCCACTTCCCATTCTGAGCCTCAGGGTTGTGAACTTCAGTTAATTGAAGATCTAGAGATGATCAGGGGAGGCATTTCCTTTAGAAGCATCTGGTAGGGAGCCTAGAAAGCCAGGGACTTGTTGGAATGAATCTGTGGAATTTGACTGGA